GGTTAAAGAGTCATGACTGTCACGTTCTTTTGCAGCGCTTGATTCCTGTATCGATTCGTGGCCTTCTTCATGCAAAAGTGTGTGAAGCAATTATTGAACTTTCCATATTCTTCACTATATTATGTGCCAAGACATTAAGGATGGATGAACTTAAGCAAATTGATGAGCAGATTCCACTTACGTTATGTAAGCTTGAGAAGATTTTTTCACCTTCAATTTTTGATGTTATGCTGCATTTAGTAGTTCATTTAGCATCTGAAGCCATACTTGGAGGGCCTGTTCGATTTCGATGGATGTACCCAGTGGAGCGTCAGCTTTATACTTATAAGTCATATATCAGAAATAGGGCACGTCCAGAAGGGTCAATTGCTGAAGGATATATAGCAGATGAATGCATGACTTTTTGCTCAAGATATCTAAAAGGCTTCGAGACAAAGTTTAATCGCCTTGAAAGAAATTATGAAGATGACAATAGAGAATGTAATGAAGCACAACTATCTATTTTCAGACATAGTGGGCGGGCATTGGGTGCTGCCACCACCCGCTACCTTGATGAACGTGAGTGGTTGCAAGCTCATATTTATGTTCTAAAGAACTGTGATGAAGTGCAACCACACATTGAGTAAGTCACTAAAGTTTAAGATTCTACTAATAAATTTACTATAGTTAGTCAACGTTAATCATATTTATGATATTTTAATGTAGGGACTACAATGAATTCGTGAGAGAACCCACAAATCACTATGATGATAAAGATTGGGATAAGAACTTTATCGAGTGGTTCCAAGCTCTAGTACGTACATATCTTGCCTTATTTTTTTTAATATCTTGATTGGTTCATTTTATTACATGTTCCATGACTTGATCATATTTTGGTTTTGTTTAGGTTTATCAGAGTTATCGAGAAGATGATGACTTACTTTCACTATCTCGTGGTCCAAGTAAGATTGTTAAATGTTTTACTGGATTTGTCATAAATGGACATCGATTTCATACAGAAAGTCGAGATAATTGTTTGTCAACTCAAAGTAGTGGGGTTGCAGTTGTTGGTGATGCTGGTGATGGTGGAGATATAGATTATTATGGTGCTTTGGTTGAAGTTGTCGAATTAGAGTATCCTGGTAGAAGAAAGGTTGTTCTATTTCGTTGTAAATGGTGGGATGTGCACGGCAAAGGAAAAGGGACCGCTTTGAAAGAAGACAAATATGGATTTATCAGTATTAACTGCCGACACTTGCTAAAGACGAATGACCACTTTATACTTGCTGGCCAAGCATCACAAGTTTTTTATGTTGAGGATATTGCCAATGAAGGTTGGCATGTAGTTCTTAAAGCACAACCCCGTGATTCCTATGATATGCCACCAGATACAGATGATTGTGGGATAACAGACGATGGAGTTGAAGCTTATTTGCAAGATGAATCATTTGATGCTCAGGCTATTGCATCAACATCATTGGAAGATGATTATATCAATTTGAGAAGGAGTGATATTGATCCAATTATTGTAAATTCGGTCTCAACTTCAAAAAAGAGGAAAAAGACTCAAGCAGAGAATTAGAACGCTTTAATTAAAGAATAGAACACAAATGATATTGTGTTATTGAGATAAAATTTAAGTTGTATCTTCACTATAACTATTCCTTTTTTAGACATATGATGTTCTTTTCTTCATATTTTGGATGTGGCTTTGACATTGCAGCAAGTGCTTCTACATTAGTGTATTATGTATTTATTGTTATGCTTGTCCTTCGTGATATCTTCTTCTTTTATTCATTTCTCTTTTGATATTTGTTTCATACATAGTGTGTAATACTTAAATTCCTTTTCATAGCAGGAAAATGAAAACTCAAGAAGTCACTTCCAAAAGCAAAAAGGCACAATTTCTAGCACCCAGGTCATTAATTAGGAAGCGACTTCAAGCAATTGCAGAAAATTCATTAAGAAGGGAACAACTCCGTACTTGTCATGACATGAACTTGAATATTCAAAATCCAACACAAGATCAAAATATGGATGCAAATTTTAGCGCTGATTCAGAAAACTTTGAAGAGGAGAATTTTGCACAAAATCGCAGGAGAAGTGCAAATACTAACAATGAAGAGAATGATGATTCTGCAGGTTGATGAGACTTAAAATTTATTATTATTTGTTTTTATCTTTCAATTTATTTTTTATGATTGGATTAATAATTGCTCAATTTTTGCAGAATCAGATAATCATCGAGTGCAAAGTGATGATGCAATACTAAATGAATCTCGACAAGAAGGTATATTCTTTATTAATTACAAGAAGAAATATTTTTATCAATTTCTTTAACTATATCTTGTTTCTAACATATGATATGATGTATGCAGCTGATAATTCTCAAAGGAAGAAAAATCCACCTCGTGGTAGTAATAAGTGTCTAAAGTTGAATAATTTGTCACATGGGGAGAAAAAAATCATTACTTTTTATCAGAATAGAGCTATTGAACCAGAATTTTCACGATATCTTGGAATTATTATTCGAGATAGAAATATTTGCCCAGTAGCTGTTGAGAATTGGGCCAAAATACCACAGCAAAATAAAGATCATATGTGGGCATCCATTAAGGTACATTGAAAATTAATTTTTTACAATTGGTTTTTAATTCTTATAAATTAAATTTTGATTCAAATTTGATATAGGATAAATTTGATGCTGATGACATGGAGCAAAAGAGAGAGTCAGTAATGAGACACTTGCGCGATTTGTGGAATAAGTGGCGTGGTGACATGCACAGGAAATATGTGAAAGAAAATTCATTGCAAGTTGCACTTAGAAATAAACCTACAGAAGTGAGTGTTGATGACTGGGATTGGCTAGTTAAGGAACATTATTTTTCTTCAAAATTCCAGGTATTAATCTCCTAATTTTATTAATTAATTTCTTTCATGTATATTGTTGGATTGTTAAAATTATCTTTTAATCTTGATGTATAGAAAGCAAGCCAACAAAATACACTTAACAGAGGCAAACGAAAGATGCTCCACCACACGGGCAGCAAATCCTTTAGACAAATTGCGTGGGAATTGGTATACATTCAAAACTAATTTCCTATTTATTTATAACTACTTTGTTTTTGAGTTTGATGTTGTACTCATTTGTATTTAATATTTGAATAAGGGTGGCAAGTCAGGAAATCCACCTGATGTGGCAAAAATGTTTCATGAAACTCGAAAGAAAGCTAATGAAACACTAGAAAATGGGGATCAAGATAAATATGTAAGTAGAATATGTGTTTAAGTTTGATAATGATGCATTATATAGTACTAACATACGAATTTAATTTTTATAGGATGAAATTGTTCAAGTCAAACAAGCAAACCCTTCACTTTCTGACATTGAGATAGTTGAGAAAATCTGGGGGAAACAATCTCATGGTCACATCATTGTATTTGGTGGCGGGACTACTTTGAAAGATTTGAGAGGACCGCTCCCTAGTCGATCTGATCTGGAAGCACGGGTTATAGAAGAAAAGAGAAAGAACCAGATGCTTCAACAACGCTTAGATGAGCAGGAGCAACAACAACAAAGGATGTCTGAGTTGGAGTCACAAGTGAAAGCTATGCAAGAACTTTTTTTTAGGCAATCACCTTCATTAACTCCTCAAACTCGAGAACATGTGCAGGACTAGGTAATTATTTTTTGTAAAATCTCTTATATACTTTTATGATTGACTACTTGCACTAAAAAAATATGATTTTTACTTAATAAGATAATATTTGCTTCATTAATATTTCTTAATTATGTGATTTTTTAAAATTTTTCAGGCTATCCATGCAAGATTAGGAGGGGGGTAGCTCGAGTCTTCTTTAATTTGACGATGATTAGAGATGAAAGAATGTGTCTTCCACAAACTTTTATTTTAATTAGTTTTAGATAGTTTCATGTATTTTTCTTTGGAACGATTAGGATATTAACTCTTGTTATTAGTATTGAATATTTGAGGATGGTGTAATTTTATTTATTGATGTTATTAATGAATGGAATTTTTTGTTTTCCCTCTTATTCATTATTGGGTATTTTTAATATATTTTTGTTGTGAATCTTAATGTCAGATTGAGAATAATATGATAGTTGCCTATGAATGAAAAAATTATTATTGATGTATATTAGAAATTTGTAGTCTATAATGACGGTTTTATAAACCGTATTTTGTTCATCAACGAAGGGAAAGCACCGTCGTTGATGGGTTACTAATTACCCATTATGAGGACTTTTACGACGGTATCCAACCGTCATTAATTAGTCTTCAACGATGGGAAAATATCCCCGTAACTAATGGTAACGACGGGAAAATATCCCCGTAACTAACGGTAACGACGGGAAAATATCCCGTCACTGATGGTAACGACGGGAAAATATCCCCGTTACTGATGGTAACGACGGTGATAATTACCGTAGTAAATATTAATGACGGTAATATGTTCCGTCGTTATAGACTCTATAACGACGGGTAGTATATCCCTTCGTGACCCTTTAGCGAAGAGGGCTTCAACAACGGGTGACGAAGGGATTTTTCCCCGTCGTTAGCATACAATAACGAAGGTTTTCAGCTCTTTAACGAAGGGAAATCCCTTCGTTAAAGACGTAATTTCTTGTAGTGGAATAAAAGTCAATTCTTTTGTATTATATGTATAAAGACTAGTTCTTTCCATGTGAAAAGGTTTGAGAATGAATTTACAGAAGATATTTAAGATCTAAAAATGATTTAAAAGTTGTTTAATCTAAAGAAAGATGAATTGTTCTTTGTTTCAAGTTCTTATGCATGTTTTAGGGTTTTAAATATGAATTTTTATGCACATAATCATATATTATATATTATGTTGCTCCCAGAAGTTTTTATCTACTGTTGACATGTTTCCATGCAAGATTCATATTGTTTTAATCATGTTTGAATCACCTAAACACGGTGTGAACACAACACACAACCGGATTAATAATAAGGATCATGTTAGATTTAATTAGACGATCCATATGAATATTTCATGCTCTCTACATGCTTAGTATTTTTGTACATACATGTCTTCCGCTGTGTATTATGCATGTAGACATAGCACGATTTCCTTCATGGTATCAGAGCTATGGTTCTATCTAATTGAATCTTAACATGTACATCTAACTCATGGAGGACCTTGTTCTTGCTTCTAATTTCTAGTTTACATGAAACTAGTTAATTAATTCAAGTTATTTTATAAAATAATTAATTACAACTAGTGTAGTTGTATGTTAGAAGCTTGTTAGTCTTTTTTGAGTTTGGATAATCCTTATGCTATCTAGTTTCCAATATGTTGCATAACTAGATAGATGCATATTTCTTAATGTTGATTAAGTTATATGATTTATCATCTTGCATGGATGTTATGTTTATGGATGGTAGTGGACAACTATTCTCTTGTATGTTTTGTATTGATGTAATAAAGTTAGAAATGTAATAATTATTTACGACCTCTTCCCTCCCCGAGCATGGGCTACGCCTACGGGTTTAGGCACTTGCTCACCGATCATGGGCTACGCCTACGGGTATAGGCCCTTGTTCGGGTGTGGGGGGGTATGGTTGCTTAGTTTAGTTATTTCATTTATAGCTTTTGCTTTATATTTAATGCAATATTATTACCCATCCTACGAGATGGTTTTTCCATTATAAATGGGGCTTGCACGTCCTATGTTTATATGATTGTAATAATACAGAGTTTGCAAGGGAACAAGCACCGCAAGGAGTTGCATATGGCTTGCTAAAATGTAATTAGTGTAGTTGCATTTTATTTTCTTTAGTTGTCCACTACCATTCTATATAAGTTTTACATTACATATGTTGATATGTTGGTTGTGCCCCAAATTGTAGATGTCAATACAATTGGGTGCTATTTTTTGCAAAGTTTATATCTCTATCTCACTAGAGAATAGTTTTTATTATAAAAACTCATTTTTTAAACTTTGTGAGACATGGCAATAAGAGTTTATTGACCATAGAGTGGTGAGATCGACATTAACATAGTGTTAGTGTGAAAGATAAATAAACCTAAAGCAGTTAAAAGAGATGTATTTAGAATGAGCTTTTAACTAGTGTCAAGGAAAGTAATTATGAGATATAGCTCATGGGGTGATGCCCAACTTAAGATTAGGGGTGATGCCCAATCTTTCGCGCTATAGTCTTAAAGAGAAGTGGTTACTTAATTAAGGTCCGATAAATATTCCCGGTGAATAGCTCGGAACCCTCCCACCAATCTTGCGCTTTCCTGGCTAGTTTAATTGTTGCAAGTATAAATATAGAGCATCTTTAAACTATATCAAGTTCGATTACGGTAAAAGATTTGAGAAATCGTCCGTAGCCCTCCATCATTTTAGTTAAATACTATTAAGCTTATAAATACTATGTTTGTTGGCATACGTCAAGGCATAACTATTCTATGGCTAAATAGTATTCATCTGTATATAAGATATAAGGATAGCTTAAGTTGGTTATGCAACTTTGTTGGCATACGTCAAGAGTTTGCATAAGTTAAATTTAAGCCAGTCAAGAAATGATGGGTACAAACTTGACTAGCATTTTATGATTTGTTGGCATACGTCAAGGTCATAAAAGACTAGGGGTAAAATCATATCAAGAATTACAAGAGTGTAAAAGACAAAAGTTGTCTACCAATTATTGAATGTGTTAATTTGTTGACATACGCCAAGGTTGATGC